TTCAATAGAATTTTTATAAACTTACTAAAAGTATTCCTAGATCCACCACGGTTGGTACCATCCTTTCTGTATACTTCTACACAGCTACGTTGCCTTTTATTTCCCATGGGTAAATTTAGATTGCAAGGTATTTAAAAAAAAAAAAGGCAAAAGAGTAAATTAGGAAATGTGTGAGCTGTCACTCATTGGTGCATCGCTTCCTGTTGCTTTATGTGCTCAAGCAGTTTTTCTCCTCAGAAGCAGACGCGGGTTACGCTGCCGCTGGCGTCGCAGTGAAACGGCCGCGCGGGGACACGGGGCTGCCCAGGTGAGTGTTCAACATCCGAAAAGTCAGATCCACAACTTGAATTCTGGTACAGATTTCACCGCGGCTCTCATTTAACGTGGGCATCGTACAACAGAAAGAAGGGATGCAAAAGGGGCTGGAAAATACTGCTTTGGGAGAAGGAGTGCATGAGACAAAAGGGGAACTGGCATCCAAAGCCCGATGCCAGCTTGAGGTATTGTTCTAATAGTATTGCTGTGGTCAAGAAACGTGTTACTGAGAGGTAGGAGGAGGATGGAGAAGAGCAGTGTTTGGGTTGAGTTTTCAGGGCTCTGAGCTGTCCAGTCCTCACTGCCAAAAATGCCAGGGGCTTCCAGTAGCTGTTCTGATGTTGTTCTTTAATATTTATGGCACTGGCAAGGTACTCGGCGCTCTTTATATGAATATACACGACACTTAAAACTTAGCAGAAAAAGAAGCTGTGCTAAAAGTGGCCTCTTAAAACAGCAAATATGTACATGAAGATATTTTGTGCAGCATCTTTCTGTGCACATAGAGGAAAACATGATGTGCATTAAGGTAATGCGAAATAATACTCACCTGCATGGCCTACGTCCTAAAAAATATAGCTTTTTTTTTCCTATTTGCTCATGTTAACAGAATTTTTATGCTCCATAAAACGGTCCATAAATTGCATCTCAAGGTTAAAAAGGCTGAGCTCTTTTCGACCTGAGTCTCTACAGAATCTCATGGAGATCTCCGAGTGAAGTTTGGTGTTGCGTGAGGAAAAATGCTTTTAATTCTAAGCCAAAATGCCCACGTTACTGAAAGGCGTATTTCAACTCTCCTCAACTGTGAAGTTTTTCAGAATTAATGTTGAGATCTGCTCATTAGGAAAAAAGACCCAGCTACGGAAGGTCCTCGTACTCGAGGAAATCGGCTTGGCGCTGTAACTTATTCTGAGAACACAGAGCAGTCTACTTGTTGAAATTGCTTTGAGAGAAGAAAGAAATCAGGAAAGCCATCTCCTTCCACCTCATGGCTGATGTACAATAGCACCAGCACAGCAGCCGCTGCACTGCCTCACACAGCCTTGTTTTCTTCCCCTGAAACTTCTCTAAAAAGCAAAGTACTCGCAAAAACTTACCATGTTATAATGAATATTGCTCACAGCAACTCGAATTCCTTTATATAAGAAATAAAGAAGGCTCTTCCATTCTTCCCTTAGGAAGCTGTTTAAGATACGGAATATTATTTTGTATTTGTGCTTATGCAATCATAACTTTATACCTACTTTGTTCCTTTCAAAATGCCATAAATGGAGAGACTGCATACAGCTCCCTCTGGATCTGAAGAAGATATGGTAGGATTACATACAAATACAATGAGCAATGAGTACTTCTCTCCAGAAACTTTCACAGGGCTCCTCTCCAGCCTTGTTTGCATACGTGACTTGAGGCGTAGCATTTGCTGGTCCATTTCTCTCAATCTATATATATCTCTAAATAAAATGACAGAGACGGGGCAATGATAACCATTGAATGATGTGGCTAAAAGAAAAAAAATACTGGGATTTTTTTTTTCTTTGAAACACATCTGATACCAAAACAAGTCTATAACATAAGTCACAAGTCTGTAAAATCAGTCACAAGTCTGTAAAATCAGTCACAAGTCTGTAAAATCAGTCAAAAATCTACAGAATTAGTCTCATAAAAGCCAAACCGTCAGACTATATCTTTAAAGAGAAATTCCTCGATGATTTTTTAGAAAAAAGCAATAACCAGCAGGATGACTTCTCAAATGTTGTGTTTCAGGGGAGCTGTAAGCCAATGCCATCCTCCTGGGCAAAACCTGCAGGTACGCTCGGTAGCTGAGACAAGACCTGGGAATGCTGCAGGTCATGCATTCAGGTAAGACAAATAATTTTGCATTCCATAATCCTATTCATCAGAAAAAAACTAAGCAAGGGTGTATGATACGGACCACTCCCCTAGAGATAAGGCCTCTGTAACTGTAATGAATTAAATGCGTTGTAGTTAGGGCAAAGCAGAGCTTTCTGCTTTTGTGCTCCTGTGCAGGGAACTGCAGTGTGGTGTACTTCATTTGCTGGCTCTGACACACTTCAGCATGGCAGAATGACACACTTCTTGTTGCTGTTCTCACTGACAGCGTGTCCTTCTGTGAGTAGCATCAGTGTGTCATCAAAGCTGGGGCACGGCTTACCTGGGGAGTTTTAGACAGCCTCCAGGGCTTTGTTCATAGAAACTATTGGTGATGCTGGTTAAAAATAAAAGGTGCAGTGACCTGAGAACGTGAGGAACCGAGAATAGTTGCTGAAGTGGCCAATTCCCCGTGGTCTTGGGTCTCTGAGTCCCATCTTCAGCGTCCCAACCTGCCATTAGCCAGTTGTATATTAAGATAACAGTTCCTGATAGCAGAAGAGCAAAGCAAGATCTTGTCCCAAAGAACACGCAGCTTATTCCGACAAGTGCAATGTAAGGACACGTGTTTTACCTTATGATCAGTGAGATCAACGGAGCAAAACTTTTCGAAACAATGAGCTAAAAGAGAAAGCTGAGGAGAAGGAGGTGGGTGGTGTGAGGAAATTGGTCTGCGAGTAGATTTGAAAGAGCTGATAAAGGCAGCTGTGAGAGGAGTCGTTGTGAGTAACGCGGAGACAAATCGAGAGCTTGTAAAGATGGTGGTGTAATGTAACAAGTGGACTAACAACGGAGAAAGAGGTTGCGGGGGTGGGAGAATTCCAGTTTCTCAGTCACGCGACGGGTGAACACTGCCTCATCCGCTTGCAACATTGCACGCGTGCTTCTGGAAGGGCATGTTCAGACGTGAAGAGACCTGTCACAGGAAGAGAGATGCTGAAATGTGATTAGAAGAGGTAGGTTTTTTATCTTTTGCTCAGCTGGTCAGCCTGCATACGTTTGCTTTGCTTTTGGTAAGAAGTGGGTCAGCAAAACCCTGACATCCAATTTCTAGAGCTAGATTTTGAATCTGTGATAATTATCTTTGCTGCTAAACTTACAATGCCCTATTTACGATGTGGTTTTATCAGGCCGCACCGAAAAGCAGACGTCTTACGTTTGCCTTAAATAGAGACACTGCATTTCTTTAATCAGTCATCACTTAAGTAAAACTGCTCAATGGACCAAATTGGCAAGTCGAGAATTTTCCTTATCTTTCAAGCCCGTGAATGAATTTGGCTCTGACTGAAAAGTCAGGCAGCTTGATCAAACAAAGCAGTAGCTGGTAAAATTAAATATGTGCCGTCCAGACTAGTTTTATTATTTCTCCTTTTTTCTGAATATGCATGAGAGGTTTTTTTAATGGAAAAGAGGTCCATATAATGACCTCTCAACAGAGGCAATAAACCTCCCTGGGTTTCCCTGAAAACCCCACAAACCTACACACACACACGCACGCGCCTCAAACCCATAAAAGGCAGACTGAATTGGCCTACCACATAGGAAAATACCTGCGCCCAACTTGCCTTCAGTTTGCGCTGTTTCCTACGTGGGAACAGTTGTAGACAATGCTATCTTGCACCCTACTCCTACAACCTCTTCACCTCCTCTGCTGGCAGCCTAGGCTCAAACCACAGATGAGTTATCACGGGCAGCCTGAAGCAGTTAGTCAGGGTTGGCGGCAGAACTGGACCACAACAAATATTCCCCATTCTCGTATTTCCTGAACTTAACCATGAGATCTTTGGAGAAGAGAATTACCGAGTGTCAGAGCTGTGATAAAATCAGTGAGTACCGGCTGTCTCATCGGCGGGGTTTTACACCCTTTCTGACTCAAAGGTCAGCTCTTCTAAGCCCTTTTAAGGCTCAGTCACACAACTCCTCCACTGCTGCTGTAGTCAGGGCTGCTGTTTCACTGGTATTTTCATGTTGAAGCTGTTGATACCCACAGCCCTGGTCATGCCTAAGTTAAGCTTAATGGCTAATGTTTCTATAAACTCGTCCATGGCAACTGCAGTTCTCAAGAGGCAAGAAGTGTGAATGAAAGATTGACCTTGGAGAGTCTCCACCTCGCAGGACTAAGTGACGCCCTGTGCATGCAGGGACCCCATAGCCTGCCAGGTTTTGATGAGGGTTCCTGGGCCATGCAGGAAGCTTTGCTGGAATAGCACGGTTAATGGCAAGTTCTGGGGGGATCGCATACAAAGGAGGGGAGGGGAAGCAAGAGGATGTGACAAGAAAAGAGAATGATTCACAACAGGGAAATGTGCCAGCCACACGTTGTCCTCTTCTGAGCAGACCCCAGCATTGACTGATACCCGAATGCCCATCTTTTTGTCCTTGTCACTCCATTGACTTAGAGGGGCGGTTGTTTGGGATAAGCAATCTGCCATATTTGTATGGCCAAACCCCTATTCTGCTCACCAGAATGACAGAAAGTGCCCTTCTGGTAATTGTGGTGCACTCCTTTGACTCTCCCACAAGTGATTGCAGGACCCTGCCCCTCTGGAAGTGTTTTCACTGCCCATCCTGCTTCTGCTGCAGAAGCTTGCATCTGACTGACCTCGGCCACCTTAGACATTTGGGTTCATCTCCCCCTGGACTTCTAACTCCAAGAGGGTTTAAAACCTTTGATCTCCCTCCATCGTAGTTTCTTTCTTCTAAAAAAACAGACACTTGCCAAGAAGACCATAGAAACCCAAACCAAAAGGTTGTTAGAGCTGACATTTTCCCTTTTTGGTAACAGGAGGCTGGATTCTTACCAACCAGGTCCTGCAGAGCTGACAGATGACCACCCATCAGACTACAGGGGGCTTGTGATCGCATCCAGGCTGGAATTAGCCCATACTACTCGGCACGGACGATGAACAGCACTGCTAAGTGCCACGATGATCACACCCTGGATAAATACCTGTTCCCATTTGTGTACAGCACTGTGATGATCATCAGCGTTCCCATCAACTGCATATCCCTCTACGCATCTTGCGTTCAGGTGAGGAAGAAGAATGAGTTAGCAGTCTACCTCTTCAGCCTGTCCCTGGCTGACCTGCTGTACTCGCTGATTCTGCCTCTGTGGATTGACTATGCCTGGAACGGGGATAACTGGAGGCTCTCTGCCTTGCTCTGCCAGATTTCTGCCTTCCTTATGTACATGAATTTCTACACCAGCACCGCGTTCCTCGCTTGCATCTCTGTTGACAGGTACCTGGCATTGGTTCACCCCCTGAAGCTCCAGCACTTGCGCACGAGAAGGTTTTCGTTGATTGTCAGCGTGATTATTTGGCTTCTGGAAAGCATCTCCAATTCAGTCATACTGATGAACAAAGAAGTATTCAGTGACCCTTGCAATTTCACTAATCATACGTTGTGCTATGATAAATACCCTCTGGAAAGGTGGCAGGCCCAGATAAATTTATTCCGGATATGTTCGGGGTACCTGGTGCCTTTGGTAATCATTCTGTTCTGCTACCATAAAATCTACCAAGTCGTGAGGTCTAATCAAGCCACAGTAGATGAAGAAAAGAAAAAAGTCAAGAAACTCATTCTGAATATCACAGTTACTTTCATTGTTTGCTTCACCCCTTATCACGTTATATTGCTTATTCGCAGCATCAAAGAACCTTACACCACTGACCCACAGCTTTTGCAGTTGATATATAAGGTTTATAGAGTGACCCAGGCCTTGACAAGCTTGAATTGCGTTGCTGATCCCATTCTTTACTGCTTTGTGAGTGAAACGGCGCGAGCAGACATAATGAATCTGCTCAGGTGTTGCTTGTGCCTACGAAAACATGAGGGAGACCGAGCAAGAGAGCACGCTCTGTGCAGTTCTGCTACGAAGAGCGCGCTGATCACCTACAGAACCTCCTGTGAAATGGAGACCATCAAAAATGCCTGAGTGAGCACATTCAGAGCAAAACTGGATAACCTGAAGGGGGAAGAAAGAAAGAAAAAGTCTTCCCCATTCTGTACCTAGGAGATAGGTACAGAAAAAGAAGTAATGTAAGTGAAACCAGTAGCTGGAGCTAATAAGGACTTGTTACAGGGCCAATGAATCACAGAATCACAGAATATTTGGAGTTGGAAGGGACCTCGAAAGATCATCCAGTCCAACTCCTGCCTGAGCAGGGTCACCTAAACTAGGTCACACAGGAACGTGTCCAGGTTGGCCTTGAATGTGTCCAGAGAAGGAGACTCCACAACCTCCCTGGGCAGCCTGTTCCATGAAATCAATGGAGCATCCACATGTATCTTCAGGTCAGACATGGCACACAAACAACAAGCAAATGCACGGTCAAGGCAGATGACCATGACAAAATTCCTGAGGGTCCCCCACAGAACTGACTCCTGCAGGCTGGGCATGCACGTACCCAGCTGGAGCAAGGCTGAAGTCTTCTTAACCCAGGCATTTGTTCTCCAGTTTTAGTAGAAACCTAAAGCTTAGCTGGGAAGGAGCCCCAGAAGGGGTTTATTTTTGTAATCAGAACTGTGATAGAAGTGAATAAAGCACGCACACATGTGGAGATCATCCAAGTGATTGACAAAGGAGCAGAGAAAGGGTGGTAAACTTTCTCTGGTTTCATGGTGTGATTTATGCTGCTATGATGGTTCCTGTGTTTCAGTAGTGGCTCAAGTTCTTCAGCATATCCCTAAGACTACCTACTTCTTAAACCTGTTTACCTCATGTGGATGGGTGCTGACCTGCTCTTGAGCTTTTCAGGCTTTTTAATTTGAAAAATGTGTGTTCTGATGTGTAACCGTACGTCATGCAGTATCATTACAGTACCAATATTGGGTTCCAGGTGGTTGAAGATTCGTTACTTCAAGTGCCTTTACAGAACCAAATTCCAGTCACTGGTGATTTAACCCAGATGAAATTTTTCCTGATATATGCAGGGAGGAAAGGGAAGGATTGAAAGGTGAGGTTTCACATCTCCGCAATGTAAAGAACCAGCCTTTAACGTTGCTTATTATGGCTGAAACCTGGAGTGTGGTTACATTTCCAAAGCAGCAGGCACTCGACCATCCAAAAAAAAGTTAAAACACCGAGAAAAGTCTTTTTTTTCCCCCTTCTCTCTCAACATTTTCACTTCTGTTCAGTTGCCAGGAAGAATGTTGGGTTATGGTGGTTGTCCTGTTTCATAGGAAAACTTTTTTCTCTCCATCAAAAACTTCCCCCTCCAGCAAGTCTGGGTAGTGGAAAGACTTTGGCCAGCACCTTTCCAGCACACCTCTAAATCTGACATTATACTTGAAGGGTGAGCACACAGAGGTCACAAGCAGTATGGAAATTCTTATGAGAAGATCCCTCTGCGTGCAAATTACACATTTCTCCATTACAAAAAAGCCACTTTCGATGTTTTCATAAGTTCCCGTTTGTGTCTATTTATACTTTCAATTAATTTCACATTCTGAGAAGGGAACTTAGAGGCTGAAGTGGTTGGGTTTGTTCATCCTGGAGAAGAAAAGGCTTTGGGCAACCCAATACCTGTGAGGAGGCTGTTGTGAAGATGGGGCCAAGCTGTTCACAATGGTGCATAGGAGGGGAAATCCTGTGCATAACTTGAATCGAGAAGGGTCAGAGCTGATATAAGGAGACTTTTGAACTATGAGGACTGCCAAGCAGTGGAGCAGGCTGCACCAAGATATACTGTGTGCTCCATCCTGACAAGTTTTCAAGCCCTGAGCAACCTGGTCTGGCCTTAGAGCTGACCTTCCCTGGAGCAGAGGTTGGACTGGAGACTTCCTGAGGTCCCCTCCAACCAAAATTGTCCCATGATCCTATGAATTCTGTATTGCTTTCCTCTCCAGAAAAGGATGCTCCTTTCCCTTCCTTGTTTACGTTTGCTGGATTTTGTTTTGGTGTGGGTTTTCTTTTCTGTAACACCTCCTTGTATTATGAAGGGAAAGTCGCGCAAGCAGCGGTGCAAGTTACTTCAGCCCAGACATTCTCCTGTGTGTTTTGCAACACAATGTGATATTTCGCCGCAGCACTGGAATAAAAGCGGAACCCGGCTTCACTGTAACTTCATAGAAAAAAAGGAAGTCAGTAGTTCATTTCTAGACCTTTCCCATGCCAGAAGGGTTGGAAAGTTGATTTTGTTGATGTTTTTTAATTTATTTCTAATAAACGATAATGAAAATGAAAAGTAAGCGACAAAACTGAGTCAAATTTAACTTATGCGCAGTGAGAGCTGGCTGCTCTGCGAGGGACGAGGAGCCGGGAGCTGAGGGTGGCAGCCAGGCACAATTTCCACAGAATTTGGCCCTGAGATTTTATACTTGTTAATATTCCCCCAGTGCTCATGGAAGCCATAGCCTGGGCCAGCTTATGTTGGTATGCCTGGATGTTTTTCATCACATCATTTCCCATAGCACCTCCCTGCATCGCCAAAGATCCACTTCAAGACAGAGGAAAACACTGATGGTGGCTGGGCTATGGGCTGGGCTTCAGGAAAAAGCTCTGGTAAGTTCAGGGTCCTGGCACGTTATGAGAATAATTGGTAGGTTCCTAACTCCTTAGGTTGAAGTACGCAGTCTATGTGCTCAAATCACAGCCTGCTGGAGAAGTGAGGAAACTTTTAGATGTAGAGACTACAATGTCTTGTGCTTAAATCATTTGTCTGTTTAACTCATTATTCTCACATATCTAAAAATTCACACAGTTTTCTCATTCTCTCTCCAAATTGGTTTGTCCCAGCTGGACCAAATTTGTCGTATGGAAGTGAACATCTATGTTCTCTTTAAAACCACAGTGTTGCAGGACGTGTACTTTTCACTGTGCAAAAATGGCATAGTGAAGAGTAAAAGGCTCCATCCACTCTGTGTATTATTGTTATAGAATTC